TGTGTGAACTTTTCCACACCTCAGTCAAGTGAGCTGTTTCTATTTGCGCAGATCACAACCTGCTTTCACATTTCTCTATCCCTTGCTATTATCATCCAGTGTTTCCTATCTTGCTTGTTCCTGGTTCGAAGTCTTCGACCTGCTTGTGCTGGTGGTGGTTGCACGCTAGCCATCCTTTCTCTGACCGTCTCTGCCACTCTTGTGCTCCACCTCGTTGCTGGTCTTCCGATGGGCCTCTTCTGGTCTCGTGGTAGCCATTCTATGATCCGTATCGTCCATCTGTCGTCTGTTCTTCTGGCTACGTGGCCGGCCCATCTGAGTCTTTTTCTCTCGATCACTTCCACTGGATCTCTGAGTCCCGAGAGCTAGAGCATATCCGTACTTCTTAGGTCTTGGTCGAGCTGCGTCTTCCTATTGTGCCCGAGGAGGTTCCTTTCAAGGGCTCGATGCGTCGCTCTCAGGGCTCGTTCACTCAAGTGAGTTGATGGTTGAATGCAAAAGAGTGGCTATTCAGCGAGTCAATCACGGATATTTTGTCCAATCAAAGAGCTTATAAAAGGAAACTTTTCATCATTCATTTCATCGTTTGTTCATTCTGTCAAGCTTCTGTTCTTACTGTGAATCAAGCGTTTTATCTTTGTAAAAACCGTTATCGTACTATTTGTTATTGTTTGTTATATCTGTACTATTGGTTAAGTTTTTGAATGGTAGTTATTTAGCGAGTCAGCTACGTAGCTTTTGTCCAATCAAAGAGCATATAAAGTATTTAAATCAAGTAAAAGGACATAGACACAACTCACTTACGGACAAAACTTGCACATTATTCTCTTAGTTTGTATACTTTTTAAGATTCGTGGCCAGTGATATTCGTAATCGAAATTATCCGTTTAACTCCATCCGGCTGCCTCAATATTTCTTATATGGACAAGGAAGGACAAATATTCTCTACAGAAGAGTAAGCTATCAATAGCTTTGACAATAATGTAGTTTTTCAGGATAACGGAGTCAATCAGCACACCAACCAATATATCAAACCCCCAGGCCCAGATGATTTGGGTAAGAAGATGGTTTCGATACTTCTTGCTAACCGTGCCCGTTTGTTCTGAGCATGGTTAAAAGAGTAACGGAAAAATTTGGTTAAAATTTGTATTCTTAAATATACAATTAAGTTATATCTAAAGAATTTTGCAGATCAAATGGACACCGGAGAATCCACCTAAGAATATCGACGAAGGAGTCTCGCTTCGTGTCTATGTTGAGAAGGTCGATAACAAGCCGAAAACACCAACAGTCACTCCAGTCCATTCTGATTCCAGAAAATTTTCTTATTACCTCTTACTTTTACTGCTAGGCTTTATAATTTAAAAATAAACTTTTCTCGAACTGAAATTGGTTTGCCTCTGGTGCGTATGGTAATTAGAACTTTTACCCGCCTATTAATTACTGAAATATACTAATTTGGCTTACCGTATTTTCTCTAATAGTAGGGCACCCCAGCGAGCCGAGTTGGTGACTATTTTACGGCTTTCAAAGTTTTCACAGAAGCTCAACACTCAAATCCCCCACTAGAACTCATCGTCAGCTACATTTTCCGACCCCACATCAATAGGTTCTGATAAGCGGTTCTGATCAGCGGTTCTCGAGATTTCGAGTAATTTAGGCAACGCTCAGAGTGCACTAGTATTAGAGAGAATACGGTAATTTATGTAATATATGGGTAGGACAGATAACGTCAGAATCCACTAGAGTTTTCAAGATCAAGAATGACGAATACAGCCGGAATCAAAAATCTTTGATCTTTCATTTAAATATCAAAAAAAGAACAAGAAAATTTCGAAAAGAAAAGAGTGTTTACATAAAAATATTGTGGTTTGTTTTTATGCAAAAAGCGGGACGAAAGCTCTTTTGAAATTCAAAAAAATCATAAAAACGTAAGCGAAATTTTGAAAATTGCAAACCTAATATATGATCATGACCCCTTCTCCAAGACTACATGTGATGATTTCACAAATTTAAAAAATGGGGGCAATTCCCGATAATAAATAGGGGCACTCGCCGAGAGGTTCACCTGTATGCAACAAATCTTTTCAGCTGTAATTTGTGAATTAAACAGTCAAGGCTAAAAAAATTTTTGACTTTGAAAAACTGCTGAGAGATCAGTCGAAGAGTGAGGCGGAGCTTGGCTTTTTGGCAATCGTGGAGCCCGTAGAGTTTTTCTTTACCTAAACCATAATAAAGTTTAACATGTACTCTTTTTTTAGTTTTAGCATTGCAACTTGTCTTCAATTTTTCAAGTACTCACTTGCGATCCCGTTTTGTTTTTTGATCCTGGCGGGCGTCCTCTCTTTTTTACTTCTTCTCCATTTTCACTGTTGACAGAGCTTGTTGGTTGACTTTCTTTAACTATTTCCTAGAATTTAAAAAGCCTAAAATTTTGATATAATCACGTGCCATTAGTTCCGATCTTAGTGAAGCAAAGTCAAGTGGATTTGGGTTACCGTGAAACTTTGTCTCCTTTTTGAGTGGTGTACCTAAAACTTGGTCTTTTGATCGTAAAACTCAATTCACAAACTTGAAGTAGTAGGACTTTTACTAGAGTGAGCTGCCACTGATTGTGAGGTTGAACTGGTGTGTATGTGTGGAGGAGTGAGGTAACCGCTGCCCTCAATGTAGACCCGATTCTTTGTCCCATCAAAGCCAATCGGTCTAATCAAGCGGGTTTCTTTTTCATCTTCCTCTGGCTTCATCTTCAATGTAATCGTTTCCTAACAATTGCAGGTGTCATTTTTTATTTGGAATGAAACCTTTTTGGGGAGTAATGCCTTCAACTCGCGTGCATAGGGCCGCTTGTTCATGTCAAACGCTGTACATCTGAAAAAAGAAACAATAATGGCAAGCAGGCAACCAAATGAATTTACAGTAAGACAGTAAAACTAGGAGACAAAATTCTAGTCTAAATCTGGATAGTGACAGATTTTACTGACAAACCTTTCAACAACTTGTCTGATCTCGTGAGTGCAATCAAAACTTTCCAGATCGATCAATTGAGTGGCGTTAGGATTTATGCTATAGACATCTTCTTTTCCATAGTTTGAGAAAACTTGTCTAACAATCAGATTTAAGCTTAAACTTTTTGATCAATTAATTTCACCTTCTCTCTATCAGCTCCCAAAGCACTAATCCCATGCTGTAAATGTCACTTTTGTGATTGAGCTGAATAGTTACAATGATTAATGTTTCCGAAATGTAAACCTTTATCACATCGGTGGTCCTCGTTTGCTCCGGACTCATATAGCGTCGCGTCCCAACATCGGTAAAAGTTGAGCAAGTTTTTTGGATCTCCTTTATCTCCCCAAAATCAGCCAATTTCAGCCAGAAGGCCTGGGTCACCAAAACACTGAAATTGATTGTTCGGTATTGTCAGTGATTGTAAATTGTCCAACTTTGCCGGCTTGATATCCCTATGCACCATGTTTTTTGTTTGCAAGTACTCCAACGCTTTGATCATGTGCTCAGCCCACCAAATCACTGTTTTGATGGAGTAAACAATTTCCGGGCTATGAATTACTAAATTTTGAAATGGGAAAGCATTTTTGTCTTACCTACATTCGTAGAGTGATCCCTTTCACAGTATTCCATCAATATTCCTTCAGTGTAAACACCTCCACCCTCGATCTTTGCTTCTCCAACATATCTCACGATATAATCATTGCGCAATTTTTTCAGCGATGCCGCCTCTTTTGCTAGCTTCTCTCTACCAGCTCTTTGTTGTTGTCGTTATCAATTTTGCAACTGATTTCCTAAAAGGTTATAAATTTTAAACGCTGAGAAGCTGTAAATTTTAAACGCTAAGACGCTGACTCACGGCTGAAATCAACTTGACCAATAAAAACAACTCCATTGCCTCCATGTCCAAGTAGAGAGATCATTCCAATCGATAATTCGAATTTCCTCCATTTTCAGTTTTCAAAACAACGGAAATGACAGACTCAATCAAGAAAACCAAGATTTTATTTCTTTTCTTTTGTCCTTATCACTCGAAAAAAGCTGCTTTCGAAAAAGAATAGGCATGCTTAGGATCCAGGATTTCTTTCCTTGTTTCTGTGTCTATTTATGAATGAGATTCTTAAAAAACTGAAACTAGTTCTCCCAGAATTACTTTACCAGAAGTCTAAAGTTTTTTATTGAAGTAAGCAGAGTTCTGGACTCTTTAAAAAATGGGAAATATGCTTCAGCGACTTTGCTTGCTCCATTAGTTTATTCTAAACCGCTTCATTTATTGGATCCTTTTACCTGAAAGATTGAAATCGTGAGCAAAAATGATTTAGCCAACAATTTGTGGTCACAGTTCTTTTTTTCCTACACTTTCTGATAAGAGTTTTTGGAAACAGGAATGCTTTCTTCGATAGACATTGTTCCATTCATCCTCATCGGCAACAAAACGATTTCATTCAGTCTGTTAGCTGTAATTTCTTTACGAATATCACCAAATACCGCAATCTGTCATGATCAATATTCCTTCCAAAATAATCTTTGCTCGTTTTTCCCAAAGCTACTAGATGAATATCCTTGCTTAAGTTATTAAAACTGCTAACATTTAACTAAAAAATTATTCAATAGCTTATACATAATACTTATACATCCAATAACATCCAATAATGATCCAATAACCTATATAACCTTTGTTAATCTTTAAATATCGATTGGACAACAGCTTCAACATTTTGTGAATCAACTCCATCAACCCGGTGCTTTTCCCTTGTCGGCTGATCAGCAACCACTGTATCACTGCAAGAACGGATGGCAATACTATTCGAAAACTGGCTATCAAGATCTGATATCAATTTTTTAGTTTCAAAATGACAACTTATTCATGGGTGATCAAGGATGATCAACTCAAGGATTCAAGATTCAAGATTCAAGGTTGATATAACTTTCAACGATGGAGAGGCTCATTGTCAATCATTAGGAGCTCATCTTGTGTCGACTCATAATTCGGCTATCGTTATATAGAGGTTCGACTTTGTTTTATTGTATTGTTCGTAAAAGGCATTGACATTGTAATTGTATAAAATTTTGATCTTTGAGCAATTCAAATACAGTTGAACAAAATTTCAAAAACAACTGTTTCCCTTGGACGAAGATGTTCAGTTTTACAAACAAATCTCGATCTTCATCGATTTCTTTCTTGAATTGTGCTTGAGATGCTGTAACTCTCGTAGTGTCCATTTTCTGTCCTTGACCCAATTTTGAATCAAAAACTTCATTTAAACAATCTTCCATTTGTTTCAAAGATTGTTCGATCAGTCAATTGATGATTTTGATACAAAGTTCTTGAAAAGTACAAATCTCTCCATCAAAAACTTTGTTCCACGTTGTCAAATAGATTTCTTTTCTGTATTCGACAATCGCTTTTGGATTTTTACTTGGGATTCCTTTTGTGAGCACTTCTTCCAATTCTTTGAATTTTGTAAACGGATGTAATTGTATAAGTTCGGCGTTTCCTTTTGTTAAGCCATCCCAGTAGAATGGAAAATGCCGATCGAGTGGAAATGTTTTACATTCTTGAAAATGGGCTTTACTAAATAAATTTGAGAAAGATCCTTCCACTCGATAATC